CGGCTCATTTGTGGTTTTCTCTCCCTCCCCTCTTTTTTTTTTTTCCAGTCTTGTTAGAGTTTGTTCTATTAATAATATTTTTTTTAAAAATGGATTCCAATTTTTTCCTTTCCCCTGTTTCTTCGATTATTTGAATAAATTTTTATTTTTACATTTCCTTGTGCTTTATTTGAATTGTTCATTTATTTCTTTTTATTTAAGCAGCAGAGAGAGGCGCAGCGCTGCCCTCTGCTGGCTTCCCCGGGGCTTGCAGTGGCCAGGGCTGGTCAGCCCGCAGCCGGGACCTGGGGGTTCAGGGAGCCGTTCCCGCGGCTCCCCGGCGCGCACTGGCGGGAGCTGGAGATTGGACACAGGCTGATGTGGGACGCCGAGGCTGAACAGCGGCCCTGGGCCCAGCGCCGCCCCCACGCCGCCTGCCCCTGCTCGCTTACAGATACTTTGTTGCCTTTTCCCCCAATTCTTTAAAATAGACTCCTCAGCGAGCTGTCGGCCTTTCTCTCGGAGGTGAGAGGCGCGCATCCTCCTGGCTGTCCCGCGAGCCCTCACCTCCTCCGGTCGCTCGCTGGCCTCCGCTCCGAATCAACCCCGTGCTTCCTCCTTGCTCCAGAGCAACGCGTCCTGGGGGCACAGGCGTCCAGCCTTCCCAACTCTCCGTCCACGGTTTATCTTCAGTGCGATGTCGCCTTCCAGGGAGGCGCCGGCGTGGACGGTCTCAGTTCTCCCCCGGCTGTTGGTGTCTGCACTGCCCACGGCGGCACAGGCAGCTTTCCTGAATGTTCCGTGGCACAGACATGGCCCTGACATTAAAGTGAGGCGGCTCTGACTTCATCTCCAGACGAGGACATACAGCGTGGAGTAGACGAAGCTGCCCCATGGGCACGCAGTCATCAGCTGGGGGTGGGGTAGCTTTAAATCCACACGCTGCATTTGTCGATTTTTTAAAAAAGATATTATTTATTTATTATTTGAGAGTTACGGGGTGGGGGGGGATCTTTTTTTTCCTGACAGGCAGAGTTAGACAGTGAGTGAGAGAGACAGAGAGAAAGGTTTCCTTCCGTTGGTTCACCCCCCAAATGGCCGCCACAGCTGGCGCTGTGCCAATCCGAAGGCAGGAGCCAGGTGCTTCTCCTGGTCTCCCATGGGGTGCAGGGCCCAAGCACTTGGGCCATCCTCCACTGAACTCCCGGGCCACAGCAGAGAGCTGGCCTGGAAGAGGAGCAACCGGGACAGAATCTGGTGCCCCAACTGGGACTAGAACCCGGGGTGCCGGCGCCGCAGGCGGAGGATTTAGCCTAGTGAGCCGCAGCGCCAGCTGAGAGGTCTTCCATCTGCTTTTTTACTCCTCAGATGGCTGCAGCAGCTGGAGCTGAGCTGATCCAAAGCCAGGAGCCAGGAGCTTTCTCCAGGTCTCCAACGCAGGTGTAGGAGCCCATGCACTTGGGCCATCTTCCGCTGGTTTCCCAGGCTATAAGCAGAGAGCTGGACTGGAAGAGGAGCAGCTGGGACATGAACTGGTGTCCCTATGGGCAGTTAGCACCGCGGGCGGGGGCTCAGCCTACTGCGCACAGCACCGGCCCTGTCAGGTTTTTCCTGAGCTGTTTGTAGGGTGGGAGTTGAACCAGGGTGTCACGGGGGGGTCCCCCTTTACTTTGCATGCTTAGCAGATGCAGTGTCTTTAAGGCCTGTGTCACTCGTGTGATTTTATAGAAAACGATGAGAATGTGGGGACGAAGCGACCCCGCTCCTGGGAGTTTATCTTAAGGGTGTTTCCTGTGGAGTCAAACAACCAGACGTGGGACTGGAGATTCAGAGCCTGCAGGGTGGTCGCGGGGCAGCCGGGCGTTTCCTCTGCACACCTGCATCCCCGAAGGGGCTGTGCTGAGGGTCTGGGGCTAGGGGCCACCCTCGCCCACTGTGGACGCGGAGGGCGCTCACCTCCCCGCCACCAGGAGGGGGCGCAAGAGGCTGGCAGGAGAGCCCACATTTCCTTGATAATGCTGTTTTCGGCGGGAGTATTGGTGGCTCTCCGTAGTCACGGCCCATCAGAGCCGCTGGGGGCTTTGCCTGTCGAGAAAGTCGCTTCACTGAGGCAGAGAGCGAGCCAGCACACAGAGGGTACTCACGTCACGAGTCTTTAGGGCCACACGCGTGAAATCCAAGTAGGCGCACCTGCTGGAATGACCAAGATGACCACATGCTGGGGCATGCGGAGGAACCGGGTGTGAGACGGCCGAGTGCCCATTTCTAGGCGCTTAATCGCATCCCGACCACAGGAGCTGCCCTCCGTCTCTAGGCGCCCCAAGGGGAGCGCAGGTTGTGCTCACGTGCAGACTGGGACACGAGTGGCCGATCAGCCAGGGTGGAGCAAGCCAAGTGTCCCACAGGTGACAGGATGAACCAACGGGGCTCTGTCCATGCCATGTGCGATGCAGCGATGAGAGTGGACGGCTTGTGCAGGGTGGAGGCAGGCACTGTTGCATCCACACGACAGAGGGGCTGGGGGTGGCAGGTGGGCGGGAGAAACAAGGAGACTTGTGGGCCTGGTGGGCGTGTTTGTTGTAGCAGTGGCCGCAGAAGGGGACACTAGGCGGAGCTTGTCCAGCTGTGCACTCTGAAAATGCACGCTGTCTCCTGTCGGTTATGTCTGGACAAAACAACCACTGCTGCCCCAGCCCCGGACACCGCGACTCCATTGGTCTGGGGGGGGGCACCTGCGTTCTTATTTTCTGGAAACTGTCCCCAACGTGCAGCCAGCTGTGACAGGGACCCTGGCCACTTCCGGGAGGACGCGGGGTGGGACAGAACAGGCTATGGACAAGTACTGGGCTTCAGTGTTCTCAGATGAGGGTGAATAATACATTTAAACAAACTCAGGGAAAATAGTCTAGCCTGCCGACGTGCAGGCTGACCCACGCCAAGTGGCCACTTGTGACGTGCTCAGCCTCTCCTGTTAATGCCTCCAAGGGGGCTGGGCCAGGTGCAGCGTCCCCGGCCTGCGTCACTCAGACCCTGAGCACCGTATCGTGGCCGTGGAATCAGAGCCCAGTCAGCACCCTCCCCCACCCAGAGGCCAGTGCTGCAGGGCACAGGGACCGTGGCACCAGCGCAAGGTAAGCACAAGGGATTCTCAGCTTTCCGCTGGGTTCCTCCCGTCACCGCTCGCGACTCCTGTCCCGTTTTTCCAGGTCCAGGTTTAAGTTCAGGTCTGTTTGTTCTCTTTGCAAAAGTAATGTACATGTGTAGATAAACTGTAGGACATGTGAGAAGTACAGAAACACACAAAGAAGATGAAAAAAATAAAGCCTAATCCCGATGCATTGAATGTCGAGTTCTTCAAGGCTGGGACTTGGCCCCGAGGTACTGAACTCGGGCTTGCAGGCAATGCTTTGCGCTACCTAAGTCACCTGAGACCCAGGCTGATGTTTTCTAAGCAGCCCGGAGGATGGCTTGGTGTTCTGCCCCTTGAGCCTAGGATTGTACAAGAGTGTGTGTCCAGTGTGCCCTCCGTAACTGGGCCAGCTGAGGCCTGCAAAGTGACCAGGGCACGCTTCCCCTCCCCACTCCTCGGCTCTCAGCCACAGGGCAGACGCCATCGGCGCCCTGAGAGGTCTCCAGGCGATGGGCGCTGTCCTGCGTGGACTGCGTTACTGCGTCAGTCGTCCACCAGCACCACGGCAAGCACTGGGAAGCAGGTCTATGAGCGTCCAGACACGCACATGCACACCCGTGTTCTTAGACCTTGAAAACCGAAGCTGGAACCCGCCTGAAGTGCAGGGTCCCTGCCTGCCTCGCACTGGGGGCCTGCCTCTGGCCCTTGGAGAAGACAGAGCCTCACGGCGTGCAGCTCGGGAGTCCTGGCTCACGCCCGGGGCAGCGCAGGGCAGAAGGAGCCTGGGCCCAGCTCTGCTCACAGGACTGGGCAGGAGGCGTGCGTGCGGCTTTGTCCTCTGCCATGGCAGCCGCGCTGGCCGGGGCTGCGCCCCCAGTGGCAGCACCTGCATCCCACACTGGGGCTCCTGGCTTTGGCACCCTGGCTCCCGGGGGGCAGCAGGGACGCCTCGATCGCTGGGGCCCTGGGACCCACGTTCTGGCTTTGGCGATGGCTCTACCTGGTGACTCTGGCATTTGGGGCGTGAACAGCAGGTGCAAGATCCCTCCATGTCCCTCTCAAATCAGTTTTGAAGATACTGCAAACTGACTATGACAAACTCCGACAGAACTGCTATGACGTGAAATCGGAGACGGCCAGTCAGCCGACAGGTGTTTTCATTCCATACTTGTTCTGTGCACATCCACACACAGCCACAGCGAGTGAAAAACAACCACCGGCAGCTTTAGAGAAACTAAAGTTGTCAGTGAAGGCAGCCGGTCTGAGAGGGCTGCAGGCTGTGCTTCCTGCTGGGGCGCATCTGGGGAAGGCAGCGCGGCGGTGACGGTGAACAGGGCACAGGTGCACCTGAGTGCTTGGGCCCCTGCCCCCACCTGGGAGACCCGGATGAAGCTCCAGGCTCCAGGCTACGGCCTGGCCATTTGGGGAGTGAATCAGCAGATAGAAGACCTCTTTCTCTCTCTGTCTCGCCCTCTCTCTCTCTGTAACTCTGCCTTCAAATAAATAAATAAATCTTTCTTAAAAAAAAAAAAAAAAAACTCAGTTGTGGCCAGTGCTGTGGCGTAGTGGGCTAATCCTCTGCCTGCAGTGCCGGCATCCCATATCATATGGGCACCAGTTCAAGTCCCGGCTGCTCTACTTCCGATCCAGCTCTCTGCTGTGGCCTGGGAAAGCAGTGGAAGATGGCCCACGCCCTTGGGCCCTTGCACCCGCATGGGAGACCCAGAAGAAGCTTTTGGCTTCTGGCTTTGGATTGGCTCAGCTCTAGCCTGTTGCAGCCATTTGGGGGTTGAAGCAGCAGATGGAAGACCTTTCTCTCTGTCTCTCCCTCTCTCTGTAACTCTGCCTCTCAAATAAATAAATAAGTCTTTTTAAAAAATAAAAACATGAAATCAATGGAGAAATAGTTTTTATTAAAACTCTCATTTAAAAAAACTCAGTAATTAATTGGAAAATGTATTTATCATAGCCAAAGTAAATAGGATTTTTTCTTAAGCAGTTGGTGCAATAGACACGTAATTTAGGGCCTACAGTAAGCTGCATACTTTGTCACACTAGCAGTTTTAGCTTTCTGGCAGTCTCAACACTAAAATTCCATTTCTAACAGCTTCTGGAGCTTTGATTTTCAGCGCCAGTTCCCCCTGGGTGGGGTGCAGTGGGTTTTGGGGAAGTCGTGTGGCTTTGTGGCCGCCAGTGCCATCCACCTGTTCATCTGCCACCACCCCCCAGGCCAGGGCTCCTCGGCCCTGTGCTGCCAGCCCCAGGCCACACTGGTTGCTCCATGTCCACATTCAGCACGTGGTCTTCGTGTCCACCTTCTCTTCCTAAACACGCGCGAGCGGAGTCCAGCCGAGTTGTGCCCGCCAGCCGGCCGCTGGCTCCTGTTTGTTTCTGCAGCTTGGGGCCTTGTTCACAGACGCTGGGCTCTTACTCCTCAATTCCGGGCCCGAGGGTGGGTTCTTGGGTGGGCAGGGCCTCGGAGCGGAGCACGGGAGACCTGTTCAGGCTTCCTCAGCGCAGGCCCCGTTGCCGTCTCTTCCGTGTCTTGTTCTGCAAGCTGCACCCCACAGAACGAACCTCCAGAAAGGCAAACACGGCGAGGACCCCACGTGCCCTAGGAAGCGGCCAGCTCCTCGAGGCGAGGTCCTGGCCTGCGGACAGGCGAGAGCCAGCGCTGAGCCCCCGTGCCGCCCCCGCTGCTCCTGCCGCAGCTCCACCCCGGCGTGGGGATCGCGGCAGCCCACACAGGAAAGAGGCGGCGTGGAGCTCCCAGGGTCACCAGGAAGCGCTGTGTGGGTTCCTCTGCATTGCGAGAGGCGGGGTGCTCATGACTCACACGGTGACGGTTTGCTCACCGCTCTGCCGGGAGGACCCGCGGAGGAAGTTGATCTGCCGTCCATCAGGCCTCAAAACTGGCATCCACTGCCCTTGAATTTATCTTTCTTTGTTTCTTTATCTGAAAAGCAGAGACAGAACACTGGTTCACTCCAGCTGGGGCCGGGCCAGGCTGAAGCCAGGAGCCAGGGACTCCATCTGAGTCCCTGTGTGGGAGGCAGGAACACAGCTGCTTTGACCACCACCCAGGAAGCCGGAAGCAAACGCCGGGCCAGGACCTGAACCAGCACGCTCAGACCCCGGGGCGCAGGCGTCCCAGGCAGCATCGTAACTGCTGTGCCCAGCGCGCACCCCACTGTTCCTGCAGTGAGACAGCACCACGCACCTGCAGGAGGGACGCGCTCCTCGCCGGACGCGGTGGCCCCGCTCCGAGGTGCGCACCTGCCCCCTCTGCCCCACCGGATGTCCCGGGTTACGTGCACAAGGCCCTCACGCGGGCTGCGTAATTCTGAGCGCACCCAGGGCAGCCACCTCCCTTTGCCGCCTGCCCTCTGGCCCTCATTTCCTAAGAACTTACTCGTTCCGAGAAACCCTGCAGGAAGTTGCCGGCCATCCTCTGCCCCGTCCGTGTGTCCCCTGGGCTCCTTGGGGCCCCTTCACCTGTCGCTCCGAGGCACCGCCCTGCTGAAGGGATCCCCCCCCACACACTGATCCGGCACGCGGCTGGGAAGCGTGTGCGTGGACGCCAGCCCCCTGGCTCTGGCCCTGCTGCCACCAGCACAGATACTGGGCCGGATGTGATGCCGTAAGCGGTTCGACCGGGAGGACAGCCTCACTTCTCCAATTCTGTGGAGCCGTCTTGAGTCACCAGGAAGGAGCCGGGCCGGTGCGCAGGAAGACTTGCAAGCAGCCCCAGCTCTGTCACCCTCGCTGGGCTTGCCTCTCCCCCGCCCCGCCCACCTGCTCCGGGCCGGCTCCGCCACCAGGCAGCCAGGCACTGTCCAAGCCACCATCGCTAATGCATCCTGGGAGGCAGCAGATGAACTTGCCCCTGCTTCCTCTCTCCCCGCCTCCCTGCCGCCCTGCCTCCCTGCCTCCCTTCCTCCCTCCCTCCCTCCCTGCCTCCCTCCCTGCCTGCCTTCCTCCCTCCCTCCCTGCCTCCCTCCCTCCCTGCCTGCCTCCCTCCCTCCCTTCCTTCTTCCCCTTTCTCCCTCCCTGCCTCCCTCTCTCTCCCTCTCTCCCTGCCTCCCTCCCTGCCTGCCTCCCTTCCTCCCCGCCTCCCTTCCTCCCTCCCTTCCTTCTTCCCCTTTCTCCCTCTCTCTCCTTCTCTCCCTCTCTATACCTCTCTCTCTCTGTTGATTTTGATTTTTGGTTCTTTTACCTCCACTCAAATCCAGGCGATTCTTCCTTGTTGTCCTCCGGGCCTTCATTCTCTAGGTTGAGGCTTTTCTTTTCTTTTTCTTTTTTCTTTTTGACAGGCAGAGTGGACAGTGAGAGAGAGAGACAGAGAGAAAGGTCTTCCTTTGGAGGCTTTTCTCTTACTAACTCATCTCCCTCCTGACAAACCGTGCGCACCGTCCTGTGTGGCCGAACGAGGCCCTCCAAGTTCCTTGCTGGCACTTCAGCGACGGACAGAGCGGGTGGTGGGCCCACCCCACACCACGGAGCCCTCACTCTTCCTGAGCTGTGCCGGAGGGGGGGGGGTCCACCGTCACCGCCTTGCCGGCAGGATGGGCAGGAGGGCGCCTCCTTGGTCTTCTGTGGCGACGCCCACCTGCAAACATTCCGCGTTCCTCGTCCTCTCTCCACACTGGCTCCGCAGCTCGCGTTTTCAGACGTACTCGGCCTTGTGTGTGTGTGTGTGTGTGTGTGTGTGTGCGTGTGCACACGCGCATGCTAGGGACATGGTGGCCACCCCCGTGGGGCCCTGCCCCTGAGCAGGTGCACATCAATGCCGTGTGTGGTTCACCCTGTCGTGACTTCTCTTCATCACCCTTCCGTGTCCCGCGATGCACCAGGGCCTTTATGTTTTATTCTGAAAAACCGACAGCAGGCTCCTTGGGTACAGGGACCGGGGGACCCAGTCTGGTGGGCCTGTGGTCATTTTGGTCATGGCTGCCGTGTTGCCCGCCAGGTGGCCCTGGGCACCTGAGCCCAAGTCGTTACGGCAGATTACCAAGCATTGCCTGCCAGGCACTGAGGCCTGGAATGCCCCTCACCTGGCTCCTGATCTGATGTCCCGGTGCTTTCTGGTTGGGCCACAGCCGCCTTGTCTGGCTGAAGACGTCGACCCTCTCCTGCCACCTGGAGGCATGGGGAGCCCTCTGTCCGTGGCCCCCCAAGGCTGCACTTCCTCTCAGCCCCCTGGGAACTCACGTCCGTGCACCCCTGCTGTGTCCGTCTGCCGTGGGCCTCGCGACCCTTCCGCCCTGGCAGCTGGTTCCCGCTGGCACGCCGGGTTACTGGAGCTGCCACAGCAGTGCCACAGACGTGGTGCTGGAACAACACACAGCGGTCTCGGAGTTCCAGGGACCGGAAGCCCAGATCAAGGTGCCACGGGGCTGCTTCCTCCTCCTCCTCCTCCTCCTCTTCCCCAGGTTTACTTGTTTATTTGAGAGACAGAGTGATGGAGAGAGAGAAGAAGAGATAGAAGATCTTCCATCCACAGGTTCATTCCTCAAATGGTTGCAACAGCCAGGGCTGGGCCAGGCTGAAGCCAGGAGCCAGGAACCTCCTCCAGGTCTCCCACGTGGGTGCAGGGGCCCAAGCACTTGGGCCATCCTCCACTGCTTTCCCAGGCCATCAGCAGGAAGCTGGACCGGAAGTGGAGCAGCCAGGACTCGGAGCAGTGCTGGTTCCTTCTGAAGCCCCCTCCGTGGCCTCACGTGGCTGCCTTCTTCCAGGACCCCAGTCGGGCATCAGGGCTCCCCCCAGTGGCTTCATTTTAACTTGATGGCCCCCCTAGAGACTCCTTCTCTGCATCTAGTCTCAGCCCGACGTGCGGGGTCCGGGCTTCAGCACTGCACTTTTCGGGGTGCACGGCCCAGCCCACAGCCTCCAGTTCTCCCTGCAGCACTTGGAGCGGGGTGCTTGAGCAGAAAGAGGGGACACCCAGGCTTTTACGGGGGGGGGGTTCTGCTCACCCAGGCGCGAGGCCCAGCTGCATTCATATCCAAGAGACTGAACATTTCCTTATACGCCTCTAGGCTCCTCTGTCTCCCTCAAGTGGCTGCCGACATTCCGACATTCCGACGGGATGTGCTAATGCTACCTGGAGGCTACAGGTGATAAGGCTGCGCATGCCCACTCAGCTGCTGATAGTAACTAGTCTCCCTCGGAGATCTAAGTTTCCGTACATAGCAAACTACACATCGATTGGCTAATCCCCCACCCCCCGCAGTGTTCATGTTGAAAACAAAACACAAAACAAATGGGCTGGCATTGCGGCAGAGCGGGTAAAGCCACCGCCTGTGACGCTGGCATCCCCGAGGGGCCCCACTTCCGATCCCGCTCCCTGCTCATGGCCTGGGACAGCAGCAGAAGACGGCCCAAGTGCTTGGGCCCCTGCACCCGCGTGGGAGGCCCAGAAGAAGCTCCTGGCTCCTGGCTTCAGTCTGGCTGTTGCCGCCATCTGAGGAGTGAACCAGCGGATGGAAGATCTCTGTCTCCCTCTCTCTAACTCTGACTTTCAAATAAGTACATAAATCTTTAAAAACTGACAAAGAAAACAGTGCCATTATACTTGGGATCTCACTGTCGACGCACCGTGAACACTCGGTGAACGGGTCACCTTCTGTGAAGCCAGTTACAATGAAAAGGTCTATAACAAATTTTTTTAAATTGTCTCCCGTTTGCTGGTTCACTTCCCAAATGCCTACGCCAGCCAGGGAGGGGCCGGCTGGGTCTCCCACACAGCTGGGAAGGATGCCAGTACTTGAGCTATGGCCTGCTGAGCCCCAGGTCTGCCTTAGCTGGAAGCTGGAGTGGGGAGTGCAGCTGGGACTTGAACCCAGGCTCTCTGATATCGGATGCAAGGGTCCCAAGCAGTGGCTTCCCTGGTGCACCCAACGCCCACCCCAGAACACCTGCGGGAATCTGTTCTGACGTGGACCAAGGAGAACCTCGTGTGCACTGAGGTCAGACACACCGCCCCCTGCAGGCAGCCTGAGGGCATTACGCCCCCACGATCTGCTGGGGGCCCCGGCCAAGACCTGGCTTTCCCATGAGGTGCTGATTCCCAGCTGGTGCCACGACAGTGCTGCTGTCATACGTGGGAGGTCAGTTGTCACACGGGGCGGGGGTGACACCAGCCCTCCTGGCCGGTGCCCACTTCAGCGTCTCCTCTGCCCTCCTGCAGCTCCTGCCTCAGGGCCTTGGCACACACTGCTCTGTCCACCAGATGCTGAGTTCCTCCTCCAGATAATGACACAGCTGACTTTTTTAAAAGGGTTTATTTATTGATTTGAAAGTCAAGTTAC